GGAAAATATCTTCTTAGATTTGGAAATAAATGCAGACTTGTCTGGTTGGTGGAAGCCATGCCAGCACACATTACATCATTCATGTAAACGTCTGAAGATATTGTTCGTCAATGCGAGTTACAGTGTACACTAAACTAAAATTTTTAAAGTGTTCTATTTAAGGCAAATTTTCCATGAGATAAATAGTGGCCACTAGTACTGAAAAAGGATTTATCGACGAACACATCGCAATCACTTCTTAGCTAGTAGTTTCTTTCCTTTTCTTTGTTCCCACGGGTTTTACTCTGATCTGGTATATCACACATCTTTTCTTTTGGATTAAACAACAAAGGCCCAGGACACTCTCTCTCCTCTGACACTCCATTAGAGCAGACAATAAAGCTCTTTTGTTCGAAAGGATTTGTGTAAATTCCGCTTGACTTTCCGATGCAAAAGGATTTCAATCCTGAGAGAAGAAAGTTAAATGTTAGTTAATGTAAAGTAATATCTCAACAATTATGGAGATTGGGGCGTTCTTAACTTCCCTCATCCTAACAGCATGCAGAAAGTGGACCGCTTCTGAGGCTAACGCAACTATGTTTTATTTCACTAAGATTTCCTTCGTTTCTCAGGAGAGCATTCGACCACGAAATCAGAACTTAATGAACCTTATATCTGCATAGGTACTCAGATTTTCTCTTTTTTCCTTTCACACTCTACGTCGTTCTTTACCAAGTTTATCGTAGCTCACTCACTCACATATTTTGTGAATTATTTCCCTTTTAATTCAAGAGATACAGAAAGAGTGAATTCCTTTGTATGGAAAAAAAATGTCCTCACTCGAATCAACTTTTGGTTTACGCATCCCTCCTCTGTAAGCGTTCATTTCTGATGCTCCGTTCGGTCCATCTGTGGCAGACATCCTGTCAGGACTGTTATGCAGAACTTTGGATCCACTAACGCGTCCAGGTTTACCCGATCCAATATCTTTACTACTTCCCATCCCGCTCACGCTTTCACCTAAAAACAAGAGTTAATACAGGGGAAATAGAGTTCATAGGATAATGTGAGTAATAATAGTAATATTAAGAGTTAACAGAGGATTTAACTCTGCTAATACCAAGAAACGCTTTCGGTTAATTAGTCTTGTATCTCTTTTTATTTTAAACCGCCTCCCGGTTAGCTCAATGGATAGAGCGCTGGACTGTTGTGCGGGAGGTCGAGGGTTCAGTCCCCGGCCGGACCAACACTCAAGGTCTTAAAATAATTGAGAAGAATATGCTACCTTTCTATAACATCAAGAAATGGCTAGATATTCTAGTCTTCTCTGATAGGGACGAATAAATGGAGGTCCCGTGTCCTACAGGGTTAGAGGTAGGAGACGTTAATTTCCCACGCACGAGATTACTGTGTGATGGATGTCCTCCCCTGGGGTGGGATGGGCGGGTTAGGATTGATTGTAAAGCGCTGTTCATCTGTCATTGTAAACAGCGCTCTATAAGTGATAAATTGTAAAATTGTAAATTGTAAAGTGCGCTTAGTGTTATCTTATCCATGCAGGTCTCCGTAATGATGACGCTGTAGAAGTATCGCTGGCTGATTTCTGAGCATTATTTAAATAAGGTAAACCACGTCTCTTTCGATTCTCAAAACTTTCACAGCGCAATTGGATTCATATTTCTCATGCTGTCTATTTTTGGTACACTTCTCGGTTTTTTGGTACACTTCTCGGTTTTTTGGTACACTTCTCGGCTTTAACCATTATTTCATTATTAGGACGAACCATTAAGATAACGCACAAATAAAATTAAGGATTACTTACCACTGCCTCCGTCCTCTTGAAGTCGAGTTATCAAATACTCACCGTGGACCGAATCATCTTGGTGAGTAGTGACGTCGAGGCTATGTTCATGGGTCACTGTTGAAGAATCTTGTCCTTCTGTATGCGGACTTTTCCACCGAGAAGCTTCATATTCTTGCTGTCGATAACCATGACTGTGATTAATAGAGCCATCCATGCTTGTCATATTCTCGGTTTCAGGATCCCCGTCACTGAACACCATTCCCTGCATAGCAATAGCGTCAAGGTATTCCTTGTTTGCTTCTAACATACTCTGGGCGATATTTCCACTATCTTCTACTGCCCTGGAATCATCTTCAGGTATATTCTCTCGTGCCGTTCCTGTAACTGTTTTGTTGGCGATACTAGATAACATAGAAACGACCTCTTTGCGCTTAGAACCTAACTCAAGCGGCCTATCGATCAAGCTTTTTAAAATCTTAACAATGTGATGACCTTTGGCATCTGATCGTCTGTTAAGAGGATTCAAAATTCTCCCAGGATTTTTCAAAATTATCTTTAGTTGTGGATGGCTCTGAATTTGAACAAAATCGTGATTACCTAGCGGTTGCTGCTCAAGAAAGGGATTTTTAATATTGGCATTTTCCAGCTGCTTCGTTACACTGTCCGATTTTAAATTGGTTTGAAAATTGTTGTTCGGAGAGCTCTCTTTTTGCTCTTTGAATTTATCAGAGACCTTTTCGCTGTCAGGTTCTTGATTTGGGTCCGTAGTCACTGCAGTTTCGTACTTTCCACCCAAAGAACCTTTTGAATTTGAGAAGTTTTTCTCGTACGTAGTAGATGCTTGTTGATCTACACCTGTTATTCCGTCAGGTTTGTCGATTTCGCCACTCTTCATGGTCTTTGTTTTGTCGTCTGTTTTTACTTCACCTCGCTCTCTGTTTTTACCTGTTTCTAATGATATCGTATCGTTATGGTGTAAAGAAAGCACGCCTCCATTTTGCTGTTTGGCAGAAACTTTTAACTGCTGAATAGGAGTTTGGTAAGAATCTTTCTGCTGGGTGAGGTTCGTTACATTCTGCAGATGAGGCGGTAATATGATTTTTGTTAAATTCCTTGGAAGGGCGGGCGATTCCTTCACCTCTTGTTTCTGAGTCATTGACTCTGGCTGACCAGTTTTAAACATTACCCGAAAATCGTCAAGTTTATAATTGTTCTCGCCGCCAGGTTTCTGCTGCGGTACAATAGGTTCTGGTTTTGACCCATTTACTGGCTGCTTCGAGGTATTCGTCTTATCTTCCTGTATTGCGAAGTCATTCTCAAGGCATTCAGACAAAGTGCAGTTAATCACAGGCTGTTTTCCACTGTTGTCCATGTTAACTTTAAGTTTAAAGTGAAGTGGCATCGAACTTATGGAATCATTTGTGCTAAACGTATTGGTCTCGCCCCCAAAATTGGCATTTTCTGTTTTCTTTTCGTTGATATCAGTTGTAAGCTGGCCAGGATTTTTTAACACCTCACCTTCACTAATGTGAAACTCTGATGAGTCAACTTGAACTTTTTGACTGTGGTCAGTAAAGGAATTCGTGTTTCTATACTGATCTACTGGTTCTGTCGTATGTTCTCTATCCAGTGTGTTCTCAGTGGCAGTCTTCATTTCATGCTGCACACTCAGAAGTTGGGGATGTGAGCCATAGATGTTTATAGCAAATAACTTGTGAGGGGTTGGACTGAAATGACTTAGATCATTCGATGACAAATGATTTTCAGAAAAATTTTTCAAGCGAGTAATACCCGCTGAATCACGTGAATTCTTTGTTTTTCCTTCATAACTCACCCACTCCTTTTGATCCATTTTCTGACTCAACTTGCCATTACTTGCTGGCTGTAACTTTTGTGAAGGCGACACAGTGACTGAATTATTGTCCTCAATCGTTGGGTTGGAGGCATTTTGCAAGCCCTCGTTGTTCTTTGATTTAATCTTCGTTTCAGGCACGAGTTCGGGATTTTTGGCCTTCCCATTGGGTAGAGTTGATTCCTCTGAAGTGATATTTACCACATTATCTTGAAAATGTCCTTGAAATCTTCCGCTACTCGCAGATTTATTTCGGTTTGTTCCAGGGATCTGGACACCGTTGAATATGTTGATTGAAAACAACTTGTGAGGTTGCGGTACCTTTGAAATCGCCTTGTCATCTGGTTTAGTTGGCTTTTCGCTTTCACCTACCGAAAAAACCCTCAAGTTACCATCTTCTTGTAAAGAAATCCATCTATTGCCTTCTTTTGAGTCAAATGGCCCTGCAGACTCGGCCTCAGCGCCAACAAATTTTACATCTTCTGGCACATCACAGGAAGATATTACTGGATTGAATTTTAGTCCAGTTGGACAAAATTTCTTTGTTGCCTTTTCACCCTGGCAGACGTAAAAAGCGGTCTCGTCTTTTGGATCTGCATATATTCCATCCTCTTTGGACACACAGAATCCTTCATCGCCTATTAAGCATCAAAACACTTAATTATTTTTTAGTCTAGCTTTTATATTTTAATGATATACATGAAAAATTACTCAGTTCTGATTGGTTAAGAAAAATGCAGTTTTCAGGCAATGCTATGCAGCAGAGAGTTAATTCAGTACAGAAGAGGGTTAATTAAGTGCAAAAAAGTAACAAACCAGACATTCTGATTGGTCAATAATCAAACAAACTCACAGAACTACTAAACTCACTGAACAATTTCTTGAACTGTTTGGCCAGACTTTGAACTTTTTTGCGCCTTAAAGATGTGAAAATTTCATTTTATCATATTTTTTTGATCATACGCGGTTGTTTTGACCGAATGTCACTTGCTGGGTTTGAATAAATAATTTTTGCACGTGAAGCGCGTGCTTTTCTTCTGCGTAATTATAATAAGCTACGTCGTATTTTTTAATGTATATTATTAATACATAATCACATGATTTTTCTCGTGTAATTTGGAATAATAAGCACTTGTAAATTTTTTTAGAAGACCACAATTTACACTCATGCTCATGCTCATGCAATTTTGTTAGTCTTTGAAAAACTTTAGTCGTGCTTATTTATTCCAAATTACACTCGAAATCATGTGATTACCTATACTAATAGAGAGGAATAAAGTTTTAATGTAGTGCAAAATACAACAAACCATACATTTTTCACGATTGATAGTGCGGGTATTGTTTCATAGATGGATGTTTAGGCATTCGTAAACTATCAGATCGAGAATCTTGTGTGGTCAAAGGCCGATCGATGCTTAGCTTAGGACGCATATATATAACATTACTGAGTTTCCTTCATTATCAAGCCACGGAAATTACTTTCTTTTAGCCTAGCTTCAATTAAAAAAAAATTAATGAAGGGTTTACTAAAAGGCTTTTACAAGTGAGATCTACATTCCAATACCTATGAAATTTGTATCATATGATTAGTTCGTTTTATTACGCTGGTCCACCCATATGGGAGCTTGATAAGTTTTAGAAAGGAGGCATAATAAAGTGACTCTCGTAAAAAAGATGCACCAAAATTGACGGAAACCTCGTGCTCGCCTACCTTCTGGAGAAGAGGGTCTGTCACCTTGACCATAACATTTAATTCCTTCAGGTGATCCCCCTGTGGAAATGTCAGGAGATCAAGATTTAGGTGAAGATCGAAGTTCTTTACACAACAAAAATTAAACGAGAATCACATCTCCTCCTCCCTACGTTGGGAAAGACAGAATATTTCTATTTAGAAATATGGACAGAAAAGTAGCTTCTTTGACTACCTACTCAGCCCATTATTTTGTTTGGCTAAGTATGGAAGGGTTCACTTCTGATTTAGTTATCAGTGAGAACAACTCTACAAGTGATTTAGTGTGTCTCTCACCTCTCACTTCAGTGTCCGAGAACTGAACATCAGAACTGATAACCTTGTCGTTTCTAAGAGCGTTGATTGTCGCCTCTAGCTGTTCATTCATGATACTAGTCAAGCGCACCTTCAGTGGAAATGATACAGCACCCATTCCTTCGTTGGTAAAGAAGTTATTCGTCGTTCTTGTGAGGCAAAACCACTTGCCTTTTACCCGTTCAAAGGCTTCAATGCCAGCCACAGGAACTCTGCAGAGTAGGAGATTCATGAAGAACGTTTGGCAAACAAACAAACAAAATAAAACCAAAAAGTTCTTTATGTGTTGATTGTGCGTGGGTAGGTCACGGGTAGCTAATGGAGAAACATTTTTGTGCCGTTACTTACTTAGCATTCATGGCTTGTAGTTTGAAATACATGTCATTACTGCCAGTAAAACGAAACTGGATGTATCCAGTTGGTCCCTGGGCTGATGGGCAGTCAGCAGCTTTGAAGCTGATCTCCCACAGACCACTTCCAGTCTGAGGAGGAAGTAGAGCCAGGTCTCCTAAAGTGAAACAAGGATAGATTCTGAAGTGATTCAAACCCCTCTAAGAACCCCGATCTCACATGAGTAACAACTTGAATCATTCAAATTATTTGTCTTGAAATTATTGAAAATTGCTAAAAAAATGCAATGATTGATATAATGAGAGATGTAATCAGAATTGCAGTGAAAGGCCGTCAGCACCCTGCTTCAGTGAATCGTCTTGGTCGACGATTATTCCTTTTAAGCTTCCTTCGACTGGTGGTGAGCCGTCCAGATCTGCTGCAGCAGGCTTTCCACTTCCAACAATCTTAAGACACACTCCGCATCCAAGAGAACCCTGGAAGTCGTGCTTTGATGCAGCCACATGAACTATCCCTGGTGTTTTCGTTAAAGACGGGGGCAGGTCCATCGAGCAAGCGTTATTTCCAGCGTCAGCATATTTTGCCTGGGTGATCCAATAAAACGGCATGTGAGACTTTGAAGAACATTGTCCAGTATTCAGCACGAGCTCCATAATATTGACCATCTTAATCGGGCAACTTCCCTTACCTCAACTTACCTTTCCTGTTGAATCACTGACAAATCTATTGTACATCGCTTTTACATTCTCAAGGGTTGTGTCTCTTTTGACGAGTACGCTATTCTGGGGATTTAGAGAGACATCTGTTAAATTCCTAATGCCTTTTACTCAGAATAATCCAACAATGAACGAATGGGAAATGGCTGGCAACTTTGCCAGATAATCTTTTATCAAAAGTAAGCAGATTCAATTGAACTATAACCTCCTCTAAAGTACCTTTCGGAGATAATAAAATTGTCATGCGTGAAACAATTCTGATAATAGTAAAGTACATGGACCACATAATGAGTAAAGTCACTAAATGGAGAACATTTCGAGTCGGTTCAAGACCTGTTGTAGGCAATCCACAAGTACTCATCTATGAATAATTGCATAACTAGGGTTAAGACTTATACCCCTCACCACGGATACGAATGTCAAATGTGAAATTTGACATTAAGTTGAAATAGCTATGAAGAAAAAAAACAGGGCAACGGTGATGATGAATAGTCGACGATTAACGATCTATTTTCTACAATGGCTATGTGTATACAGCCATTACTAAAACAGTACTATGATGGTGAACATCTGAAATAGTACTATGATTCTGAATATCTGATATAGTATAGCCTCACATTACATTGCCGTTTATAATAATAATAATAATAATAATAATGATGATAATAATAATAATAATATCAATTTCAAAAGCGTATTTCCATGCAGTGTTCTAATGCACTTTATAAAACTGTGCGGGAAACTTTTCCAGACTGCCAGCGGCAGTTTACAATTAATGAAGAAGAAACTTTACAAATGCCCCCCTCCACCCAATTCCCGTTTATCCCCCACATAACCTAAGACTGGATCTGTTCTATCCGATATAGAATTAAGGTGTTGACGTTCTTTTTTACCGTGAATACTTACCTCTCTACCAAAGGTAAGAAACATCCAATTTGTTGTTATTATTAAAACTAGCCATCTCTTTGAGGCGTGAGACTTACGGGCAGACATTGGAGAACTATTTGAAAATATTAAAAACAGACAAATGCAATGTATTCCTGATTAGTTCATGGTCTGATGTAAAGTGGGTATTTTAGCTAAGATAAGTGAGATGCTGGTTTCTTCTTTGCGAAAATATAAGAAGCGATATCTGTTAATATCATTCAAACAATATTGAATTGAAATTGTAAACACAGGGTTTGCTGATAGTCCACATTCGTTACTGTTAATTGGTTTTTATCGTCAAGTGTATCTACAAAATTCCAAATTGTTTCATGGCCTGAGGAGAAGGATTGAATTCTCAGAGTGATACTCAGCTAATGTAGCACTGCTAATGGCAATAAATTAAGTCAATTTTGTAATTGCGTGTATTTAAACTCAAATTGAAGTTTCGAAGAAATTCGCGGAATTCTCGCTTTCAAATGTATTTAAATGAAATTTTCAATCTTCAAATTACAGAACGAACTGGTAGAATCAAACCATTTTGCCACTGGCTGGTTATTCTTAAAAACATTTTATCATTCAACT